GGCTGCTGGAACGGATTAATTTCGTAAGTAGAGGTTCCACTGTAATACTATCAACCTTTATTGACTTAACAATCTGCCAGTAGGACCAACTGTACTGACATCATGCAGTGATCTTGTAACAGAGAGAAAGAAGTTTGTAACATAAGTTGTTGTAGACTGCGTCTACAAAACCTTACACTACAAATGTTTTTCCCTAGTTAGTATTAAAGGTGCTACCATTCTCTCCAAGTATCCTGATCTGACAAGGACAGTCCCAATTAATCTTCTGTTGTCCCACTTTTAAAATGCCCCCATTTCTCTCCTCCTCCTCCTCTTCTCATTGTTATTGTTGTGTGCCTTCAAATTGTTTCTGACTTATGGAGACCCTAAAGCAGATCTATCACATAGTTTTCTTGGTAAGATTCATTCAGAGGGGGTTTGTCTTTGCCTCCTTCTGAGGCTGAGAGAGTGTGAGTTGACCAAGGTCATCCAATGAGGTTTCATGGCCAAGTATGGAGTTGAACCCTGGACTCCCAAGTCATGGTCCAGTGCTCAAATCACTATACCACACTCTTTGTCCTCAGCTTACTTCAATTGCTCCAAAGTGAGTAAAGTGCAAAAGTCGTTTGCACTCAATTAACTTGGTTGGGAGGGGGGAGACAGGAAGGGGGGAATCATGTCTTTCCCAGTAGGCTAAAGCAATAGCAAAACACTGCAGCCTCTCCTAGCTTGTATGTTCTTCTTCACTGATAATTTTTGCCATCTTGACCACACTTTAATATTGCTGGGTCACACATGTCCCAGTTTTCATCTGTGAAATGTTGGAGGGTATGTGATGCTAGATCCCTTTATGTACTGATACAGACTAACACAACTATGTCTTTGAATGTATTGACATCATATTGCTTGGTTTGTTTTGTAATTCTTTTTTATTGGTTTTTATTGAAACATCATCCCTGATCACTGCCATCAGTAGTACACAAAATTATTTTGCAGTTAAGTTACACAGTCATAATACAAAAATAAAAATAAAAATGTCAACAGGGTTTCCTTACCCAGCCAGCCAAAAAGACTTGAATGCTGCTGGACAACCAGCATTATTACTTCTTTCATATATGCAATAAAACAATTCCTCATCACAGTAAAATCATGTTTTTCTTTATTTCCTT